TGGGGGGATGGAGCACTCCCTGGGGATGAGGGGGTTGGGGGGAGGAGCACTCCCTGGGGATGAGGGAGATGGGGGGGTGGAGCACTCCCTGGGGATGAGGGGGTTGCGGGGATGGAGCACTCCCTGGGGATGAGGGGGTTGGGGGGTGGAGCACTTCCTAGGGATGAAGGAGATGGGGACATGGAGCACTCCCTGGGGATGACGGGTTGGGGGATGGAGCACTCCCTGGGGACATGGGGATGAGGGTGATGGACAAGGCAGACCAGCCCAGGCCTCCGGGCCACCCGCTCACAAACGTGACCTGCTGGACTGAGAACACGCGTGACCTTTCTCCCTTTAAACGCGACCAGCGTTTAAACAAACAGGAAGGCAGTTTCTTTTGTCTCGGGGGATAAGGAGGCCCGGACTCTACAAACAGCCCCCCGGTGGCCACAGCGACATCCGTCCAGACCTTTACACAATAGCGTCTGACGTCCCAGAAAGGACTTCGACCTCCTCCCCGGCCCCCGGTGTCCCGGGGACACTAGGGACGCGCGCAGACCAGAAAGCCCTTTTACCTTGAAGGTGGTCGCGGATTCCGGGTTGGCGAGGACCAGAGGCGAAATGAGGACCAAGCCCGCGAAGTGGCCCGGCCTCTCGGCGGCCGTGAGGATGACGATGGCTCCTCCCTGCAACGCAAAACGGGCAAAGTTGCCGCCGCTCGCGCCGGGCATGCGTTTCTAGGGATCGTGACCGTCCCGGCCACCTGGGACCAGACCCCGCCACATGCTGCAGAAACCGGATCCGCAAATATTTTAGGACACGTGTTTGTCCTCCGGGTTTTCCTGGAGCGGACATTTCACAGAGACACAAATAAGGTTCCCGCTCTTGCGAGCTGAACAGTGACACGGTCCTACCCCGTCTGCGACCCAGAGCTGGCAGACACCCCCGCAGCCATCCCGACAGGCTCGACGGGAGATTTTTCTTTTTTGAGACAGAGTCTGGCTCTGTCGCCCGGGCTAGAGTGACATGGCGTCAGTCTCGCTCACAGCGACCTGCAACTCCTGGGCTCAAGCGATCCTCCTGCCTCAGCCTCCCGAGTAGCTGGGACGACAGGCATGCACCACCATGCCCGGCTAATTTTTTCTATATATTTTTAGTTGTTTTTGTCTAATTTCTTTCTATTTTTAGTAGAGATGGGGTCTCGCTATGTTGCCCAGGCTGGTCTCGAACTCTTGACCTCGAGCGATCCTCCCGCCTCGGCCTCCCAGAGTGCTGGGATCCCAGGCGTGAGCCACCGCGCCCGGCCCAGTGATACCCTTGACAAATTTTTTTTTTTTCTGAGTCCATGGTCCTGTTTAGGACAAATAAAAGATGTCCCACTGTCGCTTTATAAAACGAACACCTCGCTCCGGTGGGAAAGAGACGGCAAGAGGCATCGTCACCGGGCCACCGATACGGTTGTTCTCACGCTCTCCCCGAGCCCCGGGCTGCCGTCGGGGGTGCGGTGTGAGGCCGTCTGTCCCCGCGCCGAAGCGCTCTAGACGTGGGTCCCCCGTTTTGCTGGGACACGCGTCAGCTGC